CAAACAGTACAAAACAAACAAAAACAAGGGAGAAAACAAACACAAACGGGACCAAACAAACAAAAACAGGAAAGAAAACAAACACAAACAGGACAAAACAAACAAAAACAAGACAGAAAACAACACAAACAAGGCAAAACAAACACAGAGAACACAAACAAGTAATAAAACAAACTAAACAAACACAAACAAGACAAATACAAATATAAATAAGACAGAAAACACACACAGAAGGCCAATCAAACACAGACTGTGTCCCTTAAGTGGAAACACAAACTCTGAAAGACTCAGATGGAGCTCGTTCTGATTCCGGTTCTGGAGTATTTAAGAGTCCAGTCATCACTGATTCTGACACATCCGGGACTTCGGTGGGACTTCAGAACTGTTCTCATTCATCTGGCGGGGTTTTCCGATTTAAAATGCTGGACTATTTCTCTGCTAGGGCTGAAATCCAGCAGGAGCAGAGAAATGGGAGCAGGTTTTCTACCTGGCGCGCAGACGCAGCTCATGTCGGTGGGTCCTGAGTTCCGCTGGATCCGGATCAGTGCGCCTCGGAACCGGGACTGGGTGCGCGCGGCACCGGGCTGCAGCTGCTCTCCGTCTGACTCTGAGCGCTACGCGGAAGTTGCTTTTGCCTTTTCCAGCACAGCAAGCAGGCTCCACGTCACGTGTTCCACCTCAGACATCCATCACACCGCGAAACTCCAGCCGCGAGCGTTCCGCGGATGTTTCTGTTGAGACGGGCCCTGAGAGCCGGTCCAGGCACGGGCCAGAGTCCCTCCCCAGATAAGTGCAGCTTTGATGATATTAATTCACTCTAAACTGGTGAAAAACATCCACAAACCAGCTCTAAAACTTGATTTTGGTCCATTCATTCTCTCTAAACTGGTGAAAAACCAGGGCCGTGTCTAGGAAGGGGCCAGAGGGGGTTGGCCCCCCTCAAACTAAATCCCTCAAAACTGATTATTAAATGTCCATGGCGATGCCATCTCCTCCAAACCGGGCCGGAACCGGGCGGCACCATGAGCAGCAGACAGCAAATCAGAGCGTTGCCACAGCAGTCTGCAGAGGAGCTCTGCTGACTTCCTCTGAGATTATGATGAGATTCTGATCTCTGTTTGCAGCAACACCAGGAGAAGCTCTGGTTCTGCTGCTGGTTCTGGTTTTTCTGCTGGTTAGGGTTTATCTGCAGGTTCTGGTTTATCAGCAGGTTCTGGTTTATCTGCTGATTCTGATTCTGTTACAGGTCCTGGTTCTTGTCCTGCTGTAGGTTCTAGTTTATCTGCTGGTTCTGGTCCTGGTTTATCAGCAGATTCTGGTTTATCTGCTGGTTCTGGTCCTGGTTTATCAGCAGGTTCTGGTTTATCTGCTGGTTCTGGTCCTGGTTCTGCTGCTGGGCGCCCAGAGCTTGGGATCACGTAGCCCTAAACTCAGCAGCTCAAACCTCTAAACGCGTGTCGTTTCCCCCTGAGGGCTGAAATCCAGCCCAGCCGGGAGAGTCAGCTTCTCTTTGCTTCCTCCAGGAATGTCTGATTCACAGAATTTTGCAGAAAAGCCTCAAATGAAAGCATTAAGCTCGAGTCATTCAGTCTTCAAGTGGGGCCTTTCTGAGGAATAACCAGTCTGAGCCCTGCACGTGCACAGCAGCGTGCATAAAAAAGGCCACAGAGTCAGATCATTTTCTGGGCTTTACTAAACAAGAGAAACCAGCTTCTGCTCAGCTCCTCCACAGGAAACCTGCAACTGATCTGTGTGGAAGATTTTATCTTGTGTCATTCTTTATTTTTCAGCCAGCAAAGCAGGGCTACAGCAAGGAAACAAACAAGTAAATGTATATTATTTGGGACCCAGTGGGAGAGGAGGAAAGAACAAAAAGGAAACCAGACACCGACACACAAAAGACACAAAGCAGGAGATTAATGTTGCACCTCTACAACATCTGGCCAAGCAGACTTTCCATATTTAACCCATTTTCCCAAAAGAACAGAGAAGGGGATGCATTCATTTTGTAGACCTCATTTACAACATCCATCCAGTCAGAAACTGTTGGGACTCTGGAAGCAGCCAACGTCTGGTAAAAGCTTTTTGAAAACTGAGGGAAAAAGTAGCAAATAAATACTTGAATACTAATGAATAAATCAAGTAATGATCCACCTCTATAGAAACAACAGGTCCCAAAAAACAGAGACAAAACCAGCAAAGGCCTTTTAACACTAAATATAATCACACATTACTTTCTTTCGAGAAGGGTTTTATTTATGGACTTTCCCAAAATACATGCCAGTGGCCCCTGAACGCCACACAGCCTCCTGTTTGGAGGATATTGAAGCTTTTTGCTGTAATACTGGGCTGCAGCTCTGTGTTTAACTCTGATCTGAATGAGCTGGAGGGGAAAGCCGACATCAAGCCACATCTGGGGCGTGACCGGGACCTTTCCCTTTTCTCTCATTAGGCCTCCGACAGCTTTCCTTGAGTGTGCTGTGAAGCCGCTGAGCACCGGAGGAGCCGACCCCTCCGGGCCTCCACCTTGAGCACAAACTGTTCGCTCTCTCTCTGCTCGGATGCCATCCTGTGGCATGACTCACGTTCTGGAATAATATGCAAATCCTGTGGCTGCGTCATGTGAAAGGGCACCACAGGTCGCATTTCACACAAGTCAAGACACGACGTGTTCCTCAGAAATGTTCCAAAGAGCTGGAGGCCTTCACTCCCCCTGCTGGACTCACCAGGAAACGCTGAGCAAAAAGAGCCCAGATCCACCAACAAATCTGGCACCTAACGTCACAAAACTGTGCCTGTTTGGTTTCAATTAGGGTTTAACAAAAAGTGAAAAAAATCTAAATAATATGAATACCTTTGGGATGTAAGGACAGAATAAAGCTCCCAAACATAACAGAATGCTTGGTACAAGATGCTGCTGGCAGTTCTTCTTTGTTTGACATAAATAGAATAAAAAAAAAGTAAATTCTGGAGCCTGTCTCTGTTGTCATTGGATGGGAGGCGGGAACAACCTGGATAGGTCAGACCATCATAGAGATGAATGAGACAGAAAACAGCTCACACTGACTCTAAGGTCCAGTTTGTTGTCTGTGAATTGACATTTGGAGCTTAAATAAAATTTAAGATGTTGTCATTGACACAGAAATTATGTGAGCAGAGCAACAGTAACAATATCAGGGGTCTCAAACTCCTCTCTGGCCACTGTACTGCAGGTTTTAGTCACTTCCTAGTTCAAAACTCCTGATTCAGGGCCTCAAAGTCTCCTGAAGGTGCACTGCCTTGAGTCAGGAACGAGCCCAGAGAGGCTGCTGTTTGTGTGGGTTTAATAGATGATTAAACCCCGAATCTCAGCTCTGAGCTCACGTAGATGAGGTGAAAAACTAAAAGAGCGTCGGGAGCGGTGTGTTGCGTCAAACTACACTACCCATAAGGCAACGCGGCTTCGCGCAGCCTCAGTTGGGTTGTTGTTGTTTAACCTGTGCTAGGACTGCGCGGAGGCGCTCCACGGCGTCAGAAATCCGTCAAACCGTGATGTGGCGCTGCCCAGCGGGACTTCAGCCCAACCCAACCCGCTCCCACCGGCTACCGGCCCTCCATGCTGCCGTCCCGCGGCCTGAGGACCGACTGTGAGGCCGCCGCGGCTCCGTTTCCCCCCCTCCGCTAGCTTAAAGCAGCTGACAGGCTGCGATGTGTTAGCCGACCGGACGTCTGACCCGCTGCCCG